AGGAGAGAAACTTTGAGCATGCTTGCCAGCAGGAGGCAGGGCACCAGTGGCTCCGAAAGGGCAAATGGCAGAGAGAGGAGATCACTGGGGAAGCGAAGGCTTAGACGACATGGGAAGGATGGGATCATGAGCACTGTCTGAAGTCAGAATCGTGTTTCTTGGAAAGAAGATAAGAGAGGTAAAGATAAACTCGGATGAGGAAAGAGTGAGCTGATAAAGGATAGTCCAGATTTCCTCAGTACTGCGGAAGCTAGAATAGATTGCGGGAAGAATATAGCAGGGAATGTAGCCAGGATGCTGTTGCCAGAATCCAGGGTAAGGTGAGGCATGCTTGGATTGGGAACATTAGTGTGAAATGGAGAAGGAGAAGACACAGCTGCAGATATGGATACATCCCAAAAGCAAAAGGAATGTATCTTGGGGCCTTCATAAACAATAGTAGGTGAAAAATAGAAAATAAATGAAGTTTTAAATTAGAGCGAAGTTTAAAGTAGAGCGAATACTACTTCAGAAAGCAATACACAGACAAGTGAGGTGATGTTTCAAGAGAAATAGTCTGAGTTTAATCTTGTCATGTTGAGTTTGAGGTAATGGTAACACATTAAAGTGAGAATGTTGACATTTCACTGGTTATTTCATTCATCATGTATTTACTTGGGGCCTGCTATGTTCCTGATTCTCTTTAGGGGACTGGGAAATAATGGTGGGCAAGACACATGCGGTCCCTGCCCTCACCAAGCTTAAAACTTACATGGCAAGACAGACAGGTAACAAGGCACTGGGATCAATCAGGTGAGAATTCAGACACTGAAAATACTCGCTTCTTACAAACCTGGGGGCGGAGAAAAGGCAAAAGCCTGCTCTGGACTGACCAAAAAGGAGAGCCCTCATTCTACATTAAGAGGAAATAAACATGGCCGGGCGTGGTGGCTCAGCCTGTAATCCCAGCACTTTGGGAGGCCGAGACGGGCGGATCACGAGGTTAGGAAATCGAGACCATCCTGGCTAACACAGTGAAACCCCGTCTCTACTAAAAATACAAAAAATTAACCCGGACTTGGTGGCCGGCACCTGTAGTGCCAGCTACTCGGGAGGCTGAGGCAGGAGAATGGCCTGAACCCAGGAGGCGGAGCTTGCAGTGAGCCGAGATCACACCACTGCACTCTAGCCTAGGCCACAGAGCAAGACTCCATCTCAAAAAAAACAAAACAAAACAAAAAAAACCCCCACAGGATGAGAATTTTAGAAAATGTGAAAGTGATTTCTAAGCTATTCATAAAGCTTTAATACGTTGGCAAAGAGTGAGAACTAAAGCAATCTTGAAAGCTTTAACAAGTTGGAAACATGGGAAAGAAAAAATAAACTATTAATGGTGAAATAAATTTGGGTTAAAAACATTTGACTCTTCATCAGGGCCAATTTGAAAGCTTTCCTTCAAATTGAGGCTCTATTAAAGACAAATGTGTACGCTCTTCCATTCAAAACCTATTAAGAATAAAAACTGTAAATGAAGCACATCTGCTCTCCAATGTGAACTCAGAAAAGAATCTTAAAGCATGGGAGACCCATATAGACCCTATACAAATAGGTATAAAATATGCACCACAAAGGATAAGGTGACATTTCATTGATACTTCCAAGCTAAAAACAAAACAGAAACGACGAGGGTTTTCTAACTGGAAACTTACTACCTAAGAGCTTTGATGTACAAAGTCTGTAGTCAAAATCTAAAAACAAATTTCACTAAGTTATTTGCATAGGATAAATGAGGCTGCACAAACCAATGTAAATCATTTTTTTTTTAAATCAGACTGTACAGAGGGAACCAAATATCAATGAATTAAAATGATACCAATTGGTGTTCCTGTAGCAAGCCAAGTGCATTCAGATTGCAATGGTTTTGTAAAAAGATACTTCTAAAGGAAAACTTTAGCTGTATTAATCTTCCAATTTTCAGGAAATAACCATCATTTTTAGCTATTGTTGCTGATGCTAACCTACTGGATTAGTCTAAATTCTGAAAAGATTCTGCATGAACATATGAGGGTAGATTTCTCCAAGTCTAGTCTGCTGCTAATTACACTAATTTGTAGTTCTGGCAGATTTCTGTGGATGCTTCTAATATGTATAGTACTTCCAGGCTTTTAAATCAGGACTATTATTTTTTCCTCAAACATCACAAAGACTTTAAATGTCAGTTTATTAACTATGCTCATTAGGGAGAAAGGAAGCCTGGGGAAATGAAATTTACAAGTACTCCAAATCCTCCTTTTTAGTCATCACTGTTTAATTCTTCCCTTCAACTCATGTCCTGATGGTTCCCCATTTTGGTCAAGAATATCTTGCTTGTCATTATTGTATCTTTCAAAAGACTTTATTCAAAATGAAATTATCAATTTTGAATATTGTGATTTGATGTGCATAATTCCATCTATTTGATAAGAGTAGAGCCAGGGTGTGTGTGCAAGAGGGTGAGGGTCAGGGTAAGATCCATGTGTGGTCTGAGTAGCTTGGGCCTTAGAGTCCTGGGTTAGAATCCTAGCTCCATTAGGTCATCTGTCCTAACTTTCTCTATATTCATTATCTCCAGGTGCTGTCAAACCATGGCAACATCTATCAATTAGAATCAGTCATCAGATAAATTATTTCACAGTAATAATTTAGTGGATTATTGTCAGTAAGACAAAGTGAAATTGGAGAAGAGGATTGAGTGCAGGAGGAAGAAATTATTCCAAATTTCAGTTTGCCAGGTTACTGAACCTATTGAAACAAGTAGTCCTACAGATTTATCAAGCAAGTTGAGTAACCCTTAAAATCAGGTTGCATTTTGCTGTAAAACTACCAAATTTCCTTTCTTCCTTCCTCTCTTCTTCCTTCCTCTCTCCATAACTTTCTGTCAAGATAATTTTTAAAAAGAAAAAGAACAATCCATAAATGTTTATTTTCTCAGCATTAGTAGCCTAGACCAATCCATTAGGAATCTGAATTATCATGTTCTTTCGAGTCCATTTTCCAAACAAAATAAGTCATGGGGTTAGTGGTGGGTGAAATAAAAAATATTTCAGATTCTTTGAAACATTTCAAAATTATTTTTCAAAAAATTGGGTTTTGGAAATATCTTCTACATGTTTTCCCAAGTATTCATCCCTTGAGAACTATGGGCATATGAAGGAAAATTTGATTTTTTTCTTGAGTCTAGATTTCCCAACATCAGATGAAAGGTAATAGAGAACTTATAAACACTTTTAAAGTGCCTTCATTTTAGTTTGATTTGGACAAATAAAAATAAATAAAACACTACAAAAAACATAAACATAGCAAAAAAGCACATTAAGAAGTATGCAATAGCCTTAGTATAAGGGAAATGCATCTCAAAACTGTAATGAAAAACTACTGCCCTAGAATGGCTAAAACGAAAAACGCTGACAACACAAAATGCTACTTTAGAATATGGAGCAATCAGAGCTCTCCTACATGCGTGTGGGAATGTAGATGGAAAAATTAGGTAAAAAATAGTCAAATAGTCAAATATACATCTTCCTATAACTCAGAAATTCCGCTTATGTTTATTTAAGAGAAATTAAAGTGTATGTCCACCAAAATCTTATGCAGAAATGTTTATACAGTCTGTATTCATAAAAATAAAACAACATAGTTCAGGTGCTCATCAGCAAGAGAATAAACTTTAGAATATTCACATAATAGACTATTACTCAGGGGTACAAAAAGGAATGAATTATTGATATCTGCAATGTCATGAATGAATCTCAATGCTCAGTGAAAGAAGACAGTCAAAAAACAAAACCCATACTATATGACTCCATTTATATGGAATTCTAGAGTAGGTAAAACTAATCTACGGTGATAGAAATCAAATCAATGGTTGCTTCTGGAGGAAAGTACTTTCTAGAGTGATAAAATTTTTCTATTTCCTGATGGGTATTGGATACATGGTCATATGCATTTGTCATAACTCAAACTGTACACTAATATTTGTGCATCTTACTGTGTTTAAATTATACCTCAATAAATCTTTTTTATTCAAAAAGGGAATAAGAAAACTTCTGAAATGCAAAAATCACTTTGAATGTATTTAAAATAGAAAATTTTAAAAATAAAATGCCTTGATTGAAGCTTGAAAATTTTGAATGCTTTTCCAGAGCAAATTTCTGAGTTTTGAAGCTAATATAGTAAATATTTATGATAAGCAAACATCATTTTATAAACAACCTAGAAGTATGATTCAGCATGTAGCACAGTGCCTAGTACATATCCATCCAATGCATCTAAATACATGCATCAAATGGTTGGATGGATGAATGGCAGTAATTTTAAAATATACTTAGATTTTTCCCATTTGTTCTTCCAAAGAAAATGGTAGCTTCATTTCCAACTTGCTTTTCCTCTGCTTATTTCTCTGTGTATCTCTCCTCAGTTTTCGAAGCCAGTGATTCTCAAACTTCAGTGGGCATCAAAATCACCCGGAAGGCTTGTGAAAACACAGATGGCTGGGCCCCACCTTCAGAGTTCCTCACTCAGTGAGTCTGAAGGGGACGTGAGAATTTACCTTTTTGACAAGTTCAAGAGATGGTGATATTGCTTGCTTTGGGAACCACACTTTGAGAAGTATGATTCAAGCGCTTTAATTGTGAGATCAAAGATCTACCCTTTTCCTATCAACTTTCCAACTTATAATTGTCTTTCTTAACTGCCTTTGGCCTCATCTTCTGAGTTTTTAATTACACTTATTATTGATACCACCCATTTGCTAACTGACTCCTACTTCCTTGTATAATAGTTTATGATTTTTGAAAAAAATTACATGTATGTGTTTTCTATTTAGGTAGATAACCTTCTCAAGGACAGGGCCCCTGACTTCGTTCCCTCACACCTAGAACAGGATACAGCTAATAGGTGTTAAGTCAGTGCTAATAGTCCTGATAATTACATATTCTTCTAAAGCATGTACAGATGCTATTAAAAGCAAGTACTAATATTACCTGTCATTGGGACAGTGACTTGGCAATGTCCAGTCATGGTGTGGGTTGATGAGGAAACCCCAGGACAGGAAGACCGAGCTCGGTGTCAGAGTACCAACCACCAGCTGGAGAGGTTTGCGAGAACGAGTTTTACCTGTGGAGGTGGCATACAGGTTAATTCAGGAGACATTTAGTAAGTTGCCATGATTCTGGTAAAATGCATAAAGATGACTTGGCAAGATGATGAAAAATGTGAAAACATCGAGTTCCTTTCCTTTTCTGTAGTCCACATTGTTACTAAGTTTTGCCCATGAATTTAAATGTGAATCAAATGAAATACCTTTTTCAGATTTGTGTCTATGCATGTCTGCATATGTATATATGCATACACACGTATATGTATATTGTACATGTATGCATATTAACAATATCCAGCTATACCTAGTTTTATTTTCTTGTGGGTCCGGGAAGGATATAGAGGTCTTAGCTGTGATGAGTGAAATAAACACACACACATACACACACTTCATTTCTTTTACAGATAAAATGAAAGCATGTTTATTTTTTTTCCTGGGACTGTGAATGAGTATGAAATAACATCTAAGACAAGAAAAGAAAGCTTATTATCTAGATTGTAGGTTATAATCTTTTTTTCAACCTGTTTAGAAGTGTAGTATCCCTTGATGTTATTGTAATAAGTATATTTTACAATGAGTACCTAAATGGAAAAGGTAAATACATTTTTTAACAATGCTGGAAGAGTAGGAGTAACACAGGAAGCACAGTTGTTCTGATGGTGCTAACTGGATCTAAATAATGCCAAGGGTTATGCTAATACATCACTGGAGATTGTGTTCAAGTACACAGGAGCAGGGACTTGCACTTTCAAAATTATCTGAAACTGCAGAAGTAGGGCAGTGAAAAACAGGAAGAATCTCAACCATGAAAACCAACACTGACTCATTAAAAATCATTAGAGTAAATAAAAATCCGATAGAGAGTCTAATAAAACTATATAGAACATGAAACATACATGCTTTGTATTGCTGTTGAATTCCCTCTTTTATTTCATGAGACTATGTATGTCGTATTTGCTCTAGAAAGAACTTGTGCTATCTAATGAAGTGGGAACCAAATGGCAAAATGGCCTGCGACCTCCATTAAGGTAAGTAGGAGAGTGCCCCTTGCATTAGCCTATTGGTGGTCATCTGAATCAAATGCTCTTCAAAATTGTGCCAGGCTTGTTCCTTTTGTTAATTTAAGTTCTGTAAGTTGTTATTCAAGCAAGAACCCTTCTTAGCACAGAATACACCTAACCTAGTGGTGGCAAATTGCCTCATTATAGGATAGTTGACTTTTAAAGATACTTGAAATAATTTTCAAAGATAGTTATCATTTACATGGTTGGAAACATGGGTTTATTCTTCTCTAACTTTTGCAGACCCAGCTGTAATTGTGCCCCATATGATGGTGATTTAAATCGTCATGTATGAGCTCCAATGAGGGCAGATTAGAATCTGCAGTGAAGGCAGGAGCACTTATAGTTTCAACAAGCCCTGGGATGATTCTGATCTTCCCTTTTCGATTCCCGAGTTGATTTTCACTAATGTGATGCAACGATCTCATTCATTTTACAGATGAAAAATAAAGCACAGAGAAGTTTCAAGATTGTCCAAAGTCACACTAAGAGCAAAGTCAAAATTCAAATCCTGGGTCTCCTCTATCACGACCTAGTTTTATTTTTATGATATCACTGTCTTGGCTCTCAATGTCTAAAGGTAATGCCATTTAGCGATGAAAGACAGACATATTTTTCCATGTAAGGAACCCAAGGCTTGTGTGACCAAGGGAACCTAATGGTCTCCCAATTATTTGTATGACCGAATAACTATTTCAGTAAAGTTGAATCTTAATATAAAAATAATTAAATCATTAAAATGCAGGTGGCAGATACAAATATAGAATGAATGGAAGCTAATCCTTTAGTCATTATGTCATTCCTAAATGCAGATAACAAAAACAAAAATTGTATCTGCTATCCAAAAAGAAAGGTGGGGTATTATATCCTGAGCAAGATGAAGCAATTTCCTGAGCTGGTCATAAAGTAAACAATAATTTCTAAGGCTAATGTCATAGAATCCTCAAAATAAAATGAAGTTATAAAGTGCTAAGGCATTATCATTCTCTTGACGTTCCTTATATAATTTTGTATATTTGTACTATGATCATATTTCTATCAAGAAACAGTTCAATGAGTATTCATCTGAAAACAGATCCCATGGAATCACACTGATGCTTCTTGAGTTTGTGGCTCAGTATTTCTGAAGTACAGTCTTGAAATATTGAGAGTACATCTATTTTCAAGTATGTGGAAAATTGTCTGGACAACTCTCACTAACAAGTTGTAAGGAGCGATTGGAATTTCCCTTTTGCTTTGGGATGATCTGAGGCCAGGAAAAAGAATTAGTATTTTTCAAAATGCTTAACCACTCAATGCTGCTCTTAAAAGAAGTGGAAATCAGCAGAAAGAGAGGAGGGAATTGTGGCAACTGATTTCTGATTTAAGCTATTCAGTATAATTGAATAGCTGAGTGCTCTTTCTCCCATTTTATTCTTCTAGAAAAATACAGCAAACAGAAAGATCCTTTTATTGTGTGGTATCCAGTGTACCATAAAAGACGAACGTGCTTTGGAAATAATTATTTGGAGATCATTCACATTAGAAAAATAAAAGCAGGCTGGGCTTGGTGGCTCACACTTGTAATCCCAGCAGTCTGGAAGACCAAGGAGGGTGGATCATGAGGTCAGGAGATCGAGATCATCCTGGCTAACATGGTGAAATCCCATCTCTACTAAAAAATACAAAAAAATTAGCCAGGCGTGGTGGCGTGCACCTGTAGTCCCAGCTACTTGGGAGGCTGAGGCAGGAGAATGGCATGAACCTGGAAGGCGGAACTTGCAGTGAGCTGAGATCATGCCACTGCATTCAAGCCTGGGCCACAGAGCAAGACTCTGTCTCAAAAAAAAAAAAAAAAAGACGAAAAGAAAAGAAAAAACAAAATTTTGTGATCAACTCTATACAGAGTTAGGAAGATGCAACATCAGATAGAAAAAACATATTCACAGCTTCTTCCTTATAACAATGGTCAGCTATAGTATTTGATCTGAGAAGAAGTTTTGGTAGTGAAATTAGATGACATAGAATTTTAATCTTTAGTTATGTACGAAGTTTCTATTTATTTATATATCTACTTTCCTGTTTCAAGTCTTCCTAGACTGGGAAACATGGGTGTTGCTATTATTTTTATTTTTATGGAAGAAATCCTTTCTTGATTGAAATGAAGAGGTTTAGAAGGGAGAGATAAGGAGTAAATAAAACCAACGTGCTGATCTATTTAACACACATACATGAGTTACCCTTTTAAAATGTAAACAGTCTCCTTTAGAAAAGGTGAGACATAAAATTGTGCCCTTAACATCTGAAAGGCACAATACTGAGCCTGAGTTCACACACTGCAAAATAGAAACAGGCTAATAGGAGCTAACCCTAAATGAGCACTGACTACAGGCCAGGCACCGTCATTAACTCATTTAATCCTCAACGACAACCCTATGACGCAGCAGAATCCAGGAGCAGAGAGGTTCAATAACTTCTGTAACTCCCTGCAGTTTGCAAGTGGTGGCACCAGGAGAAAATCCGAATAGTCTCCACCACCAGGCTGTGTTACCTCTCCAAAAGGGTAACCTGTTGACCCAGGGCTGACACCTCCTCTACATTCCTAAAGCTTCTCAAGGTATTTGGTCTCCATGGGTCCAAAAGAGATGAAAAGTCATGGTTCAGAGTCAATAAAAGACCAAAAAAAAAAAAAAAAAATCAATGCAAAGGACTATACCTGAACATGACTTCTTTTGACTTGGAGGGGGAGCAGGTCGCACAACTATCAGATATTTCGGCTCTGCATCTGGAAACAATAACATTATTTATCAGAAAAACACTTTAAGAACCAGCATTGAAGGCAGCACACCCCTACCCTGACTCAGCATTCCCTGAGTCATCCTCCATAACCGCAGCTCCAGGGGGCGAAAGGACCCAGTAATCTGAAAAGTTAACACTTCCTGAGAGGTTTATTAAGTCATTAAAATGAAAATTAAATCCAGATTTTCCAAACCAAATGGGCAAGGGTGAGGGAGAAGTCTTAAAAGAATCATGCTATACACAGATTTTAAACGCTGTTTTCATCAGTTCTTTTCTCTGCAAAGTTATTTTTAGAAAATCAGATTATGTCCATCCTGTTACACCACTCCTCAAGGAAAGCCAATCCTGATGCTCCCGAGAAGGAAAAATTCTGCTTGCACAAGACACCATGGGCCTCACCTGTATGAGCTGAAATCACTCACTTTCAGTGGGAACAGGAATATTTATAATGCCTTTCTTAATTTCTATTCTGTTTATGTAATTGCTCAGCCTGTTTTCATAGCTAGTCATTTTTAATGAGCAATTTTTAAACAGTCACAATTTATACGTTGGCATAATTTTCATTTTAAATATATTTCAATGAAACGTATGTAGGTAATCTCAAGGTATTTAAGTTTTAAATAAAATTATATTAAAGCAATCAGCATATGCTACCTCAATAAGGAGCTAATAATTTATCAAATAAATTTTTAAAAATTGATGTTTGCAAAATGAATGGCTGGGTACACATATGTAAATAAACCAAATACATTTTGGGCATATGAAACAGTATTTTATAAGCAACTCTATTGGATTAATGGATTGATGAGTATTCTTTACAATGTTTCTCTGGAACTTTAAACTCTGAACTCATTCTATAAGAAATTTCATTTGGATGCTGTAGTCAGCCAGAATTCACACGTACTTACTCAAGCAGACTTCATATCTTTGTTTTGTTTTCATCTTGGGTTCAAATGTCCCCCCTCCGTGAGTTT